ACCTGTGCTCCCACGATTTTGTATCAAATAACTTTTGAGAGAAGTACATATTTAACTGAATATTTGAGAGCAATAACCTCTACAGTATCTTATAAAGCAGGCTGTTGAGGAACAAGAAACTCATGGACCAGATACAGTCTATGACTTCACTTTGATAATTTTGGACTGAGTAATTAGAGGAGAATGCATTAGGACAAGAAAGAAAGTGAACTGTGCCCTGCCAAATGGGTCTGGCAGTTCTCCCTGGGCTGCAGGAGAAAAAATTGTCATTTCTCCTATAAACCAATACGAGGAGAAAAGTATAGCACACATTGACACAAGAAAATACTCTTCATTAACAGTTCCTATAAACCTTAATGGCAAGTAAGAGGAACAAAAGTAAAAAATGCTGTCCTCATTTTTTAACAACAGATTTCTTTCTCAGAGTTAACTTAGAAGTATTCATATTTGGAAGCTAAATCTAAAATAACTGAAATGGACTCCATTTTCATAAACTATTGTGTACTCCTCTCCATAAAAAAATCAACTTTTAGTTCATCCATCTTCAATGTCTCAAAGACATTAGCCACCTAGGAAAATTCAGGACACTCCACTGAAATACACTAACTTGTCTTTCTTCAAATACTCCTTTTTAAAATCCTGAGACAACAATCCTAATGAGAATAGCTTTTTTTTTCTTGCTTGGATTATGTGGCAATGTGGCAAAATTCAGCTACCACTGATAGCTTGAATGCACCAAGCAAGATATGGAGAAGGATCTCTGCAAGTCTGCATGTTCATTCATGTTTACAAAAACTGACATCACACAAATAAGAGACTGATTGGTGTATTTTAACTGTTTGCTTAAATTATGATCAACTCCAAGTTTTTCATCTGCTCTTTTTGTTTCACACTGTGTTATATATTTGCTCATGACACGCTGTTGAAGAAACTAAGGGCTGATTTTTTTTTTACTAATGACATCAAATAAACTCTATTTTATTATGATACTGCCACCTATAGTCTTTCTGAACACCACACTACCTCTGCACAGTTTTGATACTCATTTAAATTTCTAAATATTGCATTGTTTATCTTTTGCTAAAACTTTCAACATCACCCCACCCAGCAAGGAAAATGTCAAATAAAATGTTTGGGGGGACACACTTCTGTTATCTTTCCTCTGTGATTTCCAGCCCCACCAAGAAATCTCCCCTGTTTTGGATAACCTGATGAAGAGGCTGATTTCAGAAGGTCTGAGAAGAATGGGTAACTCTGAATTGAATATCTACCAAATCACAATGAATGGCTCCTTCCAAACACAAGAGAGCATGCCTGAACACACTACACAACCAGTCTACAGTGCAGAAAACAGGATGGAAACCAGATCTGAAGTTTCTGTGAGGCCTAATGGAGAATTCTCATCAGATACTCCTATATATATTTCAACCATGCTCTACTTCTGTAGTCTGATTAGGACACCTAAGCAGAGACATTAATTCTCTCCCTCTCCTGATGTTTTTCTGTCCTATAGTTTTCTGAAGCTAACTTATCATTAAGTAAAACTCAGACCTCAAATAGACCAGACAGACATGCCTTCCACTGCAGAGCAACACACAAAGTGATGTGGATCTGGAATCTCTCTGTCCTGTAGTCTTACCAGCCAAGGCCTAAGCTACAGGGGATGTTTTGCACAGTGTTCCTACCTATGAAACTGTCAACTCAATGGTGATTCATTAAACGCTACACCAACTCAAAAGGCTTGTAGCTGCAGGAATCAGCAATTTGTTTTTCTTCTAGGAATGGAATTAGTTAGAAGGACAGATAGACAGATCATGTGTCTGTCCCTCCTTAACCTCTAATATGTCCAAGCACCTATGGAAACTCTTGCATGTTTCCATAGTCAGCTGTTGAAGTGCAACTCCTGCATCTGTCCAACCCCTCAGTACCTTGAAAAAAACTTTAGTGATACTGATTCCAGTATTAAGGAAAGAATGCCACAACTGTAAGATTAAAAGAGCTACTAATTTTGATGGCATACAGTGCCCTGAGTCCTTTAAGTTCCCCATTATATGGTATTTCTAGCTTCTTTGTTCAGTTCTAGAATATTTTCCATTTTAGGAAGGAAAGAAATCTACTCAAGTGTAGAATCAAACAAACCCCATAATTCTAAAATACAGGCAGCTGATTGCATTGTATTAGACAATGAGTTAGAAGATGAAGCAGTTCCTTCGTTATATTCTGCTTCGCTTTAAATAGCAAGAGTTGCCAAAGCTGATGTGATAAAAGAAGAATGACATGGAGAATGAGAACTTTGTAATCTTCCCATCTCACTTACCACTTTAAGATACAAAGGAATAAAAATGCAACCTGTCTCCCTTGCACTGAACTTTAATGTGCTGCAGATAAAAAACAAACAAATCAAAACACACTGAGTTTTTAGCTTTTCAGGGATGCAATACTAAACAATGTCATTAAAAATAAATTGACTTAAAAAAAAATAAGTTCCTTTTCTATTAAAAAAAAAGGCAAAGCTGTTGTGTATTTTTACACATAGAACAAACAACCTGTTTATGGGGACTGTACCTTAGGAGTGCGAGCTGAAGCACCTTTTATAATTGTGTACTCTCAGGAGTGTCTCACCTGTAAATTCAGACATTATCGCTAAAATCATTTAGTGTTTTCATAAAAGAGAACGTTCTGCTGTCAAGTACTGTCAAGAAATTTTCCTTGAAGGACTCTTTTCAAAGCTACTTCGGTCTTAGCAACAAACTTCACCAGAGAACCAGCTGGCACAGGACACCAGTGAATGTATGTGCCAGCTTATACACGTGTAGGTTTTCCATACTCCTGGAGCTGACTGATGAAATCTGCTCTGAAGCAGCTGGGAGCATGGAGAACCACAGGCATGAGAATTCTGAGAAACAAAATGCACTGGAAGAAATACCAAATCAGTGTTCTGTTTTATTTCATTCTCTTTGAACATCAACAGGCTGGCTAAAAAAACATGTGCCCTAAGTAAATACTCTTGTAATTACACTTCACTAGACTCATTCAAGGTCATGAAGAGTGATGGTGATAAACTGCTAGAAAGTCTCACTTCACTTCTTATTCCTGTTTTGATGCATATTTCTCTGAGTCACTGATTTAATCTTCCTCTTGATTATTTCAAAATTTGTCAGAATAATGTCTACAGTGAAATTTGCTCCCAAGGTGCATTTCAAAAGTGCTGCACAAAAGCAGATATACCATCTGCTGTTTAAAGGGTTCCAAAAGACTTTTCTGTTACATTCCTGCAACTACTGGATAAGCTACTACTGCCAAGAGGAATTCTGTTGACTCCCTTTGAGGCTATATAGAGTACAGGCATCAGGAGTAACAGGACTTGCAAGAGATATGAACACAGTAAAATGGTACCCTTGAAATTAAGACAATGATTTTTTAAGTCTGAGCTTCACTAGAAAAATCACTGCTGACTGTTTTCACAGAAACATCTACTAATACATTTACACTCTGCTCCCAGATTGCTGTCTGTATTTTTCCAGGGGCCAACAGACCCAGTTGCTTGGCTTTGAGTTAGTTTCATCCTGTTATAACTCATCAAACACTCAGAATTCTACAACCCACTATGTGCACTCTTTATAGACATGAAAAAAAGGAGTATTCTAGAATTCCTGTACTGATTGCATGGTTTACTTTTATGTTTAATTTCAAAACTTCCAAATTTAAATGTATTTCAGGGCAGGCAGATACCCTCTTGCATCTTATATTGCACTGTTTACCCACATCTACCTTCAAAAAGTTAATCAAAATTGATACTGTACCAGGAAGATCTTTCCATTAAAGACTTTATGAGATGACACAGATTTAATTAACCTGTCTTAGCTTAACTCTCTCCATGTGTAGTGATGGAAGGAGAGGCTGCAGTACCACGCTGAGAAGGAACTGGGGAGGAATTTGTGCAAGTATTGGCCAGTTCAAAAACATAAACTGAGAGGACCCAAGCTTATCAAACCCAAATAATTCTGAGTGAGTTCTGCTGACTTGAGGATGAGCAGCAATGCACAGAAATGCTTTAGTACAGATAAAGCCATCTTCCTTATATGACAAAATCCATGAATAGATGTTTCACTGCAATAAAATGGGTAGGTAAATGGTCTCCTTTCCTGACCTTTTTGCATAGACTCTTTAATAATACAGAATCAAAAATCTCGAGGTAAGAGAAGACTGTATATTTAATACCTTGGATAAATTACATTTTATGACCAATTTCCATCTCTCTTGTGATTGTTAGCTCTCTTCCTGTATATGCACAGCTAGGAAATGAAGCAGCTTTTTCTAAGAGTGTCTTAGAATCCTGGTATGTACTGCCTTCATTCTACTGCCTTCCAACAAAGATTTCCATGTTCGACTGGATGTCCTTTAGTATTGTGGACTTCAACAAACTAGCCATGTTCAGTTCATCAGCACCTACAATTGCAGAAAGGCATTTTGAGATTTCTGTAACAAAAAGCTAAATGAACTGTGCATTGCTGGGTATATAATATATGCTACCTCTACTGGGCCAAAGCCTGAGCTTGCTGTTATGAAGCAAGACAGCAGAGAACAAGAGAACTGATGCATTCCAGCTGTGCAGGGCACTGGACAAGAGATCTGTAACAACAGACTTCAGAGACACCTTCACTTTCTGCACAGTCAGGGCTCTGCAGGTCCCTATCTACAATGTGTATTGGTCACAGTTCTCTCCAGTCAGAGACCAGTTGTGCTGGAAACATACATATGAAATCAAGAGTGGAACAGCTGGGCTGTGAGGTAATGACCATTTATTAAATCTTCACACAAAACAGGGAGAACTTGTCTATGTATTGTTAGACATTGATGATTTAACTTTTGTCCTGGTGAATCTGAAATGCAGCTTTGCTACTGCAATAAATATCTGCCTGAGACACTT